TCATTACTTAATTTAACGCTTTAAAACAAACGGAACAAATGAAAAAACAAAGAAGTTAAAACGTTACGGTAACTTAAGTACATTATTGTGTACTCAATCATTGTCGTTGATTATTTTGAGAATTTCACAAATGTTAACTCATCGAAAACCATAAGAACTTTTAACTCGTTGTATACAATCTCAACGAAAACAATTTCGAAATGAAATTGTGAGATAGATACTTGTTTCCATGTTTAAAAGTAAAAATTTATCTAAAAATCTTTGTCGAACATTTGAATGGATTCTATGATGACGCTGTCTTTTAGGCATGCCTCCAAAAACTCCTCCAATGTTATAACACCGTCTTGATTTAAATCGTATTTACGAAATATTCGATCCACCTGAAAACATTGAAAAAGGTTTCATTAGGACAAAAATATTGAAAAACCGATTTGGAAGTAAAAAAAAAGCCGAGAAAAAAGGGTTTTTGAAATTATGACTAAAATATGGAAAACACGAAAAATGGCTTTAAATTACATAAACGGATCAAAATAAAAATCGTCAAAAAGTGTGTTTAAAGCACCGTGAGCGGGCGAGAGAGCCAGAGAGAGAGGCAGAAATGGCAAAAACCAATCTGTACAAGTGCATTAAAAATGTAATTAATTTTCATCATCGTTAATGTAACAAGAGTGAAATAAAGAACACCGTTAAAATTCGATTTAATTTTTTGATAAATCATGTGATAAGCACTTGAAATTGGATTGCAAAAACCACATTCAATTTATAAATGTTTCAATATGTCATACCTGTTCGCGTGCTTTTCGATCATCATCCGGTTGGTGTGGTCGACGTCCCATCAGTTCATGAACGGCATAAATCAATTTACCTAGTTCATTACGTCCAATGCACCCATCACCGTTGATGTCATACAATTTAAATGTCCAACGTAACCGTTCGTATACCGAACCACGTAAAAGTGTTGACAATGTCACGAGCAAATCCTGCATTCGTATGAAAAAGCGGAGGGGGGGCGACGACAAAAGAAATTGAAGAAAAAAACTTGTAGATCAAACAATGACAAATTGAACTGAATTGTTACGAGCCAAAAAAAAAACAAACACACACGAGAGAAAGAAGAAAAAATCATCGAGTACGATGACAACAAAATGAAATGTAACGAAAGAGTGTTGTTCACTTACTCGGAAACTGATGGCGCCGTTGCTGTTCACGTCGAATGCTTTAAACACGTAATGTGCATAAATACTTGAATCTTAATAATTGACACGAAAAAAGAAGAAGAAGAAGAAGACGACGAAGAAAATGAGCTTGAACTGTAATTTACGAATGCGAATAATAGCACATTTAGTTACACACTTACTTCCATGTGGGAAGAATTTCGCATAAATATCTTTGAAACAGTCTTCATATACAATACCTTCCGGACATTCCTGCAATGCAATAAACATAACGAACCATTTATTCTGGTATGAGTTTGTATTTGTATATGTGTAAATTATATGAATGAAACGAATTGGGAATCTTTAATTTTTTTATTTTTCGTTCGGAAAATTCACATTCACAGAAACGAAAACCAAATGATGCGAAAAACATAGTAACATCTACCGACTAAAAGAGATAAAATGATTTTTAGGCTACCGTTTTGAATCCGCGGTACATCACACGAATCTCTTGACGTGTGAATTTTGTGAGCCGACATAGATCCTCTAAGGCAACTGGAATTGGTTTCGGTGTACGAGCTGATGGTTCTAACTCGAACAGAACGACTTCCTCTTCAATTGGACTGTCAGGAGGCGTTGCCATGCTTACACACAGTAAAAAAAGTTTTTTTTTTATTTCTCGCGTTTCGCTCTCGGTTTCTTTCCTTTTCTCGTTTCCTTCGTGTGTTTCTTTTATATATATTTCGTTCTCTTATCACTTGATTCACTCCACTCGATTCTCCCGCAATTTATTGATTATCGTTGCCGTTTTCGGTCTTTCGAATAGTACCCGTCGGCAAGCGTTACACACATCTATATTTACTACTAACTGCCGGAGAAGAAAAAGAAGCAGAAGAAAAAAAGTTATGCACAAAACACACACACATGTAGATATAATATTATTATTTTTGTTTTGCTGTTGTCATTTTCGTTCAAAAAAACCTCAACTTTTTGCACATAAACACGTCAATGGATTTTAAAATTGCAAACAAGTGCAAAAAAAGAACAGAAATAAAGGAAAAGAAAAGCACATTTCTTGTTATTCAGAGAAATAAGACAATACAATTTCTATCAATTTGTTTTAGGAAAACGACGAAATCCCAAAATAACGAAAGAAATAGACAAGAATTGAACGAAAAAAAATACAAACACGACTCAAGTCAAGTCAAAGGGAATGAGAACATTTTTGTCACTTTTCAAATTCTTAAATAGACTTGAAACTCTTTGCGATTGTGTTTACACTGTAGCCTTGTTCATCCCTTGAAAACTTTCAATTATCTTTCAAAACAGAAACAATATAAATGATTCACGCTGAAACGCTTTGACTCACCGAAATTCGTTATTTCAAAAATTTGTCGGAACGGCATCAATTGAAGTGCAAGGCAAAACAAAGTGAAAAATAAAAATAAAAAACAAAAAACATTCAGTCTTTTACGTATATGTATATAAAAAAAAAGAAGCAGAAAAATTGTGTTCTCTTTTTCCGGTAAAAATGTGTTTCGAAACAAAGACGAAATCACATTTTCTTGTCACGAAAGTTTCTGTTCTCTCTCTTTTTCTATTCTCTCTCTCTCTCTCTCTCTCTCTCTCTCTCTCTCTCTCTCTCTCT